TATATATGTATATGTATTGTTATATATATGTATTTGTATATATATGTATATGTATTTATATATGTATATGTATTGTTATATATATATATTTGTATATATATATATATATGTATATGTAGAGAGAGAGAGAGAAGACATCACATATGGTGTTCTACTACAGTGACTGCAGTCTGTTTAGCGGCCATGTTTGAAGTCAGACACCGACCTCTAGTGGACAAAACGCCAAAGCAACCCATTGTGACTGTAGCCCTTTATATAGCCTATATAAAAAAAAATACTTTCATGTGGAAGAGTACTTTGTGGCAGGAACCGCATTGGTCGGAGCCTGGAGGCGGCAACTAACTGTTTTTCCTGTATAGCATTTTTATGTTTGTTTGTGAATGGTTGGTTGTCTTGTATGTGACCCTGTGATGAACCAATGAGCTGCTAAGGCTGTATGTCACCCTCACCTGATGACGGCTAGGATTGGCTTTCACTATTCGTGCAACTCAGAATAAAGTTGTAGTTGAAAAATGAATCATTTATAAGTCGATCGAGAAGGCGTGTCTTCTGTCCATTTATAAAGTCTTAAGGTTATATATTCATTGTGAATTCTTGTCTTATGTACACCGGATGTCTCACTTCAGAATGTGCCCAAATAACTCCTTGTCCATCAGCTGCCATAATGTTCCAGCTGGAGGTTTGGTGGGAAGCGCTACTTGAACTAATGAGGATGTTGCTAGTGTTATATAAATGTTCAATTTCTTCCACCAGGCATGGCTTTGAGTGCATTTTGCAGTTTGTCCCTCCTGGAGCCTTCTGAACAATCCAATCAGCAACTGATAAAAATTGTAGTGGCAAGTTTGAGATGAGTCTTCGTATGTACCTGCTGAAACAAGGCACTGCATCTGAAAGCTATTTGGAACATGATTCATCATCTGTTCCAGGCAAACTGTTGAACACTTCCCATAAATATAATAACTCTTGGGTAACTTAGTTAAAGGGCCAAGATCCCACATCCCATAGAAAGTGAAAATATCTCACAGTTGTGTCTCATCATCAGCAGTGTTGAGGGAAGGCTAAAACACATTGCAATCCCCCAAACAACAGCTAGGACTTCATCCAGGTAACACTGTAACATCCTGGACTGACTCGACCAAGGGACAGAACAAAACAAAGAACGTTTTCTGTCGGCAGATACTGGTTCAAAGCCTTTTAGTACTAAGCGTGACATGCATAGTTCCAGGAAGGTCTCAGTCAGAGCCTTGAAGGACACAGAGCCATTTAATGCCTTGTTTTCAGGTTTTCCTTTTTTCCTTTCTTCCAGGCTTTTTGGATGAGAGCTACTAAGCTGCCTTCACTATGCTTCCAATTTCCTCCTGCTCTCCTGTTCTTCCTCTTTTATTTAGGATGTGATGAAGAGAAGCTTGTCAACATTCTGGATGATGCACGTTTTACCCATTCCAGACCCTCTTTATCTTTTGTGCGTCATTTTCCCACAATACACTTCATTTTTTGTCTTGTTTTTCTTTTTTTTTCTTTTTTTTTCTTTTTTTTCTTTTTTTTCTTTTTTTTCTTTTTTTTCTTTTTTTTCTTTTTTTTTCTTTTTTTTTCTTTTTTTTTCTTTTTTTTCTTTTTTTTCTTTTTTTTTCTTTTTTTTCTTTTTTTTTCTTTTTTTTTCTTTTTTTTTCTTTTTTTTCTTTTTTTTCTTTTTTTTTCTTTTTTTTCTTTTTTTTTCTTTTTTTTCTTTTTTTTCTTTTTTTATTTTTTGACCTGCAGCTTGAAAAGGTTCCAGCTTGGAGCTGACTTGAAGAAAGAGGGGGAAGAACGAGCTGGACAGAAAGAAAAGTGTCCTGTATAATTGCACACAGTTACCCCTGAGGGCAAACTGCTTCTTACCTTATACCTTGTTTTTCAAGGGCCTTTTTTTTAACCAATGCACGTGTGCGAGCATGTATTAATACAAATCTCCCAGGCAGTAACAAGTACACTCATTTAAATTCAAAATGGAAAAGTCCTGTTTTGTTCTGGACTCAAATCAAACCAGGCTTCCCTCCCAGAGCCCAGAGCTGCCTACAATCTCCAGTCCAGCTGCAGTGGACAGACGTCTCTGCTCACTGCTGCCAATGTGCACGGTATGTGCGCATGAAACTGGAAACAACGCACGTTATACACCCATTATCACTCGTAATGATTCACATACGCCACCCAGATAGTATCACGAGCGAAATTACACCAGCTTTAGGCCTTTATGTCTTTAGGAGGTGGTGCATTACAAGCAATTCTGATACCTGTCTGGTCATTGGAAAAAGTCTGATTACAGAGGCTAGACATTTCAGGTTTGTAAAGGCCCCTCATTTAATACCCTCTCAAGCTGTAATGCTAAAATATTACGCTGGACTCTGAAGATCAGACTGGGCTTTATGGCAAATCCCAACAGTAGGAGAAGCAAAATGAGGCATTTTGAGCTGTGTCTTTAGCTAACACCACCGGTTTTAATTAACCAACAAAAACCAAACTGCGACCTAGTTTTACGGCTAGTTTGCCTTTTTTAAAATAATAATTTTATTTTTATTTTGTGTTATTACTTTAATATGAAAATACAATTTAAAATTAAATATAGTGTTTACTGTAGGAGCAGACTTCAGGTCTCTTTGGTATTATTTATTTTTTCTTGACCTTAAACAATGTGATTTATGCTAATAGTTGAAAAAAATAGCACAAGGAAAGGTTGCATTATTACAAGAAAGGAGTTGTAATTTATATTGCATGTATTTATGAGGTAATGTATACCACTGTGTATTTTTTATCCATTAAATGCAACTGGAGCCGTAAATATACCAGGCTTTCACAATTAACAGGTATTCTCACGTGGCCACGTGCATTCCAAACATACTGTATGTAGTTCAATCCTCAACCTTGGCATTCCTTTATTCCCTTGCTCGTGTCATTCAGTAATGCATCCACCGTGCCAGACGTCTCTCT